AGGCGGCTCAGGGCGTCTGCAGGTCCCAGGTCCTTCCCAGGGCGGTAGACCAGCTTGTACCTGTAGGCTGCCAGCGTCAAGGCCCAGCGTACCACACGAGGAGAGGCTTGCACTGGGACCGCCTTGTCAGGTCCCAGCAGCCCCAGCAGCGGCTTGTGGTCCGTGACTGCCTCGAACTGCCGGCCCCACAGGTACTGATGGAAGCGCTGAACCCCGAAGATGAGGGCCAAGCCTTCCTTGTCGAGCTGGCTGTAGCGTTGCTCCGCCGCATGAAGCCGACGAGAAGCAAACGCCACAGGGTGTTCCTGACCATCCTGACCCCGGTGCGACAGGACGGCTCCTACCCCATACGGTGACGCATCCACGGTGAGGACCACAGGCTTGGCCGGATCGAAGTGCACCAGCACTGGAGCCTTAACGACGAGCTCCTTGCTGCGCTGGAAGGCCAAGTCCTGCTCCTTCTTCCACGCCCACTGCTGCCCATCACGAAGCAGGCGATGCAACGGCTCTAGATGCGTCGACAGGTTGGGCAGGAACCTCCTGTAGAAGTTGATGAGGCCGAGGTAGCTCTGAAGCTCCTTCTTGCTCTTGGGCTTCGGCGCCTTGAGTACGGCCTCAATCTTGCGGGGAGCCGGGGCCAGGCCAGCCTGGGAGATGATGTGTCCCAGGTACTCCACGCTGGGGGTCAGGAACACGCACTTGTCCAGCCTTAGCTTGAGACCGGCGTCCTGTAGTCGTGTCAGGACTTTGCGCAGGTTCTGCAGGTGGTCCCCGTCGTCGGTACCGGTAACCAGGATGTCGTCCAAGTACACCGCCACGTGCCTCATGCCCCTGAAGAGGTTGTCCATCTCCCTCTGGAAGATGGCTGGGGCTGAGGCCACGCCGAACGGTAGGCGCGTGTACTGGAAGAGTCCCATGGTAGTCGAAATGGTGACATACTTCCGGGCGGCATCCTGGAGCACCAGCTGCTGGTAGGCATCTCGAAGGTCGAGCTTGGAGAACTTCAGTCCCCCGGACAGAGCCGACCAGAGATCTTCTACCCGAGGCAGCGGGTACTTTTCGACGGTAGCGACGGGGTTGATGGTGACCTTGAAGTCCCCGCAGATCCTGACGCGGCCGTCTCGCTTGAGGACTGGGACAATTGGTGCAGCCCACTCGGAGGTCTTGACGGGCACCAGGATACCCTCTCGCTGCAGCCGTTGCAGCTCCTGGGTGACCCCGTCCTTCAGGGCGAACGGCAGCGGACGCGGCTTGAAGAATCGAGGCCGGGTTCCCTCGGGTATGTGGATGCCGACCGTCGTGCCGGCAAAGGTGCCCACCCCTGGCTGGAACAGGGACTGGAAGTCGGTCAGGAGGCTCGGGACGTCCTTCACCACGTGCAGCGCAGCTTCTTGGTACTCCGGCAGCCGAACACCCAGCGAGTGAATCCAGTTCCGGCCCAGCAGCGTCGGCGACGACCCCTTGGTTAAATAAAGGGGAAGGATTGCCTCCCTGTCGCCAAGGCGAACGCTGACTTGGGCCCGACCCTGGACCTGGGAAAGCTGCCCGGAGTAGCTGCGCAGCATGACGTCAGGCGCCTCGATGGACACGCCGGGGAAGGTCCGCTTGAAGAGCTTCCCGGGCATGACCGACACGCTGGCCCCTGTGTCCAGCTCCATGGTGATGGGGTGGCCGCAGATTTCGACGGACACCAAGTATGGTGGCACGGACGATGGAGGCTTACTCGTCTGCCACACGTCGAAAATCTGCGGGTCCTCGGCCACGACGTGGACCCTGGCTGAAGACGGACCCGGGCCTGGTGCCGCTCGTCCCCGCCGCGTTCTTTTGCGACGACCACCCTGGCCGCGGGCTTGGCTGGAACCCGGGCTTGAACCAGGCTGCTGCTGCTGGCCGCCGCTCGTCCTCCCCCCTCGGCAGACACGTGCGAGGTGCCCAGTTCTCCCGCACGTGAAGCATTGTGCGTGGACGAACTGGCACTGTGAGGGGGAGTGGGCAGCACCGCAGCGGCTGCAGGCACCGCTCCTTGTCGCCATCTTGTTCACCGCCGCTTCCGTCGACGGTGAGCCGGCCGCACGCGCAATCTCGCTGGCGTCCTTTGCTGCGGCTTCCATCGCCAGCGCTGCCTTCACCGCGTCGTCCAGCGAGGGGTCGGGGAGCTCCAGGAGTCGCGTCTGCATGGCAGGGTTGTTGATGCCGCAGACGAACCGGTCCCGGAGTAGCGAGTCCAACTGGTCGCCGAAGGCGCAGGTGCTCGCTAACCCTCGTAGCGCAGCGACGAACTGCCCGAGGGTCTCCCCGTCCTGGCGGCTCCGGTTGTTGAAGCGGAACCGCTCCATAAGCGTGGACGGCGCCGGGCTGAAGTGCGAGCGCAGCGTGGCGAGCAGCTCACCCAGCGTTTTAACGTGCGGCGTGGCCGGCTTGAGGAGGTCGAGCAGGAGGCTGAAGACTCGGGTCCCGCAGCTGGCCAGGAAGATGTCCCGTTGTTTCGCCTCCGGCGTGTCGTTCGCCCGGAAGAACACGTGGACTTGTTCTTCGTAGACAGGCCAGGCGGACCCATCTCCCTCGAACGGCTCGAGCCTCCCGTACAGCGGCATGGCGACAGGAGCGGGGGGCGGTGTTGCGACTCTCTCGGCGGCGTGGGCCGAACCGTGCACGTTGGGGGCCTCCAGTGCCACGGTTCCTCGTCGCCAGTGTCAGGATCTTTCTGGAACGTGGACGAAGGGGGCCGAAGCACCCGCCGAGGAGAGACGCCACGCAGCCTGGTTGTGAGGGTGGACGATGTCTGACCGGAGCGCGTGCGCTCAACGGCGTTTATTCGTGAGGTGACCAATGTTGCCCGCCGAGCCAGGCGGCCGCAGACGGGCGGACGGGAGGGGGGCGCTACATACTTGTTACAAAAACTGTGGTTTAATACATAAGACTTTTAATGATGTAGAACTGCAGATGATGTGGGGATGTATTTCAGAATGCAAGAGACAAGATTGTCCTTTATAAATTCATTTTTTTGCTTATCAGGCGGTGTTGGCCTTAAGCTTTCTGTTTTTGGTTTCAAGGTTTCTCAGTATTTATGCGCAACAGCTCGCCTGCGTTTTACTCTAATTTATTTTAGTTCCTCTGTTCCCACATCGTCTTCACCGACTCTATGGCTGCCTGCCGGCGTCCGATACAGAGTCGTACTCCCACATGACATTGCACAACAAATGCAACGGGACCTACAATCACCCGCTAAAATCTTCTGGATTCCGGGTCATGAGGGCACGCCGGGCAACGAGAGAGCACACCAGTTTGCTCGAGGAGAGCTCCTCCGGGCACCCGGCATCCCCTGATCTGCTCTAACGCTGCCCGTGGTCTTAAGCGCGGCTCACACTCTTGTAACCGAGTAAGACCGAAAGAGACAAGACCGGTTTTTAAGCCTTTTGCGACTGCTTAGGACCTGCACCGCAGCAGTGCTTCTGGTCTTACTCCGTCGCAAGAGGCCTAAAAACCGATATTGTCTCTCTCGGTCGTACTCGGTCGCACATGTGTGAACGGACCTTTACCTTCACTCGAATCATACAGACATTGAAGTCGAGTCTTTTCCCTCCTGCACTTTCACCTTACACGTCACCAAGGCACAATCGTCTGCAGCGCCCAAAGCAACGCCCTCCTCACCCCAGCCTGCATTCAGCTTCTACGAAGTCTACGTCCTGAAGACCCCTTGCATTCACTGCGGTGACCGCCCAAATATCGATCACATCTTATGGATCCGCCATCCGTCATCCGCCACCCCAACTCCCTGTACTTACCACCCGGTTCCGGGTGGCCGACTACGGCCACTACACTCCACGATCGGGAGCTCAGGGCCACCTGGCGGTGTACATTTAGTCTTCTCTGGAGCACTCCGCCAGAGGGAGCCTGTTGACGGACCCTGCTCATATTTCTTTTAGATTAATAAAGTTTTCTTTCTCCCTCTGTTTCTCTCTCTCGGCATACGATTGCGATAACATAAAATGTTTTGGAACAACTTAGTGGTGTTGGTCTCAAAATGCTCAATCAGTCAGGAGACAATGTGGCTATTGATAACTTAAATATTTTACAGTACAAAAAGAACTGCGTTTTTTTTTTCTTTTTTAACGCGGGCTAGAATTTTTTAAAGCACTTTCCACGTTTTTTATTGATAAAAACAAAACAAAACAGCGTCCACATAAAGAAAAGGGAGCCGAGGGGCTTTACCGGAGCGATTGTCCGAGAGCCCAGGAGGCAAAAAGAAAAGTAAGAGAGTCCTACCGTAAAAAAGAAAAAAAAAAACTGTATAAATTCTTACTATATGAATTATGGAACTGGGAATCTGGCTGGAATTATTTCTGGAAACCTGAAATCTAGATTGCAGACAAGGGAATATATATATTTTTTTTTAAACCTGAAACCCAGATAGAATTTAGACAGATTTCCAGATCTATAAACTAAAGAACGGAAAATTATACTTTCTTTTTGGTAGGGAGAGGAGGATAGCACCGGAGCAGAAACGCTAACACCAAAACCGAAATTACCTTCACCGAAACCGGAACCAATTTAAGCTTCATAACGCCTGCTAGGACTGCTAGCTCTAATCTGGATCAAAGCGGACACTTCCATAGGCCGCTGGGGCCTATGGAAGTGTCCGCTCTTTATGTTTACTATTTTACTCTGCGACTTGACACCGTGACGTGACGTCACGTGGCAACGTCGTGTGACATCCCGGCGTCACGTGACAGCATGACTTGGCGCACTACTGTTACGGAAGATTCAGTGTATCTTCTAACCAAATTTAAACGACTGCTACTTAAATACTGCATTCCGTTAATTATAGAACTTTGGACAGAATGATCGCTGCCAATTTTTTTACTTTTTTTTTATTCGGAATTTTCTGGATGATCCTTTATTCTAAGATGTCCAAAAGGTCGATTATATTTAATTACACTGCTTAAAAAAAGAATTTCCGTAAAGCGAAGACAACCGGGAAGCGATTCATTTGAGCTTACATTTGGAGGTAGGCGTGGATGCATCGTCTGGTGCTTCTGGTGTGCCGGTTGTTTTTTCTGTGAATAAGGAGAGTGAGAGAGAAGGTGCGAAGTACTCATTTTTAAGTATTCCTGGTATAATTTACGGCACGATTTTTAAGCTCCCATTTCGGTCCGTAACCACTGCCTGCTGGGGGTATTTGGTGAGGGTTTACAATGGTTTATTACCCTTTTTAAAGGTAATAAACTATTTTCCGTATATTATTGTTGCTTGGCGTTAGGGATGGTAGCAAGAAATTCTTTAGGAATATAAAGAAAAAAAGATATTATTTTAGAGAGTTTTGGTTTTCTGTGACGTGAAACCTTAATTAAAGGGGCATAGTGCAGCGATTTTAATGTCGAAATAATGTGAAGTTTGTATTTTTTAGATTGTTTATCTTGGCACAAGTGACAAAAAACGCGCCACCTTGCCCCGAAAAAACTACTATTCTGCTGCGTACTCGCAAAAGGAAAAAAAAAAACACAATTATTAGCCGATTTGCAACTACGGTGAGACGCTTCTGGGGGACACGTGGAAGTCAACAAAACCTGTCCCCCTCCACTGCTACACTCGCCGCCAGCCCCGTGGCGAACCGTCTTTTGTGTCGATCGATCGCCGCGACCTTCGACGATGCTAATCTTTGAAAAGTCTGCGATCGCAGAGGAAGCGGCTGGAGACTCTGAAGAAAGAATCCAAAGGGAAACCAGGTGGTCCCACAGAGTGTCACTCGAAAGACAACATGAGAGTTGAAAAACACTTTGACCTACAATTTATTTCATTAAAAAAAAAAAAAAAAAAAACATTCACAGCGCAAGCAAGAAAATATGGTTTTCTGTTTTATGTTTTATGGGTTGCACAGATTAATTCCGTAGTGAATTCGCCAAAGTCCGAAAATCGTAGCACCGTCCGCGAGGGGCGCTGCCAACTCCGGTGATTTCTTCACGGCCCCCGATTCACCTGAATATTTTCTAAACACATTAGCGAACATCGCTGAAAGAGTCTCCCAACTACTATACCAAAATATATTTTTTTTTGCGAAATTATTTATATACAATTTTCGTCCTCACTGTGTTTTTTTTTTTTTCAAACAAAGTTTTTACAACGCAGAAGTGACGCCAGTGGAAGGCATAGGTTCACTCTCTGGACTGTAGATTTTATTCCCAAGTGATTACGAGCAGTTTCGTGATGTCAAATGAATGCTTTGGAAGCTCGCTCCAGTACCCGTGCACCAGCACGGAACAAATGATTGGCAAATCCTATTTTTTAGACTGCTTGGTCGACTGGCAAGCCTGCCTTTTATTGAAGTCACGGCACTGACAAGTGCGGGTATATTTGGACGTTGGTTTTTGCAACATTTTCAATTGCCGATTTCACAATAATCTCCTATGAATTTCGCGACACTAACTAGCATACCGGAAAGGGTAAATGCTCGGGGATCAGAAAATATAATTAGTTGAGGTAGCTCAAGGTTGGTTCACATACTTGTGACTGAGTATGGCCTCTTGTAATAGACCAGAGAACCCATTGGTATTCTAGGGCTATCTATGAGGTGGTCCTGGAAGTGCATTGCACTACACTCAGATACAACGTAAGAAAGACAGTGCGAGGGGGAAAAGGGTGGAAACTGGGAAAGCTTAAGTGGAGAGGAGCGACCGCCTTTCCGCAACGGCTTTTCTCGTGCGCGCTCTTTTCCCCCTCGCACTGTCTTTCTTACGTTGTGTCTTAGAGCAAAAGGTTTTGCAGCTTTTGCGAGATCAAATGTATGTACGTAGTATCCTGAGAAATGGTCGTTTATAACATTAGGAAGTTTTGGTAGACCGTGTTTCCCCCTCTGCTAAGCCCCTCCGCTATTCGGAACTCTACAGCCAAGACCATCGGCACGCAGGCGCAGTGGCGGTTTCTTCGTTGCGGAGGGCTTAGCGGACGAGGAAGCACGGTATACTAAAACTTCCTATTGTCAAACGTTTGCCAAGCCAATTGTGAAATAATAAGGCGGGAAAATAATAGGAAATATACCAACATGGCAAATGTTCCAGGCCACCCCATAGATGGCGCCAGCACGCTCTCTCGTTGTAAGAGATCACACGACGTTATAACGCACTCGGTAGTAAACAGTCGCAACTGTGTGAACGAGCCTTTATATCTACAACCTCGTTTCAACGGCCTCGCCCAGGATTGCTTCAGTTGGGAAAAAAAAAATGGTTTGCTTTGTATATTTATACCGCCTTGGAGATGCGCCTCAACGGTGAATCGGTCTCTTAGCTGTAGATGAGAAATTTAGCCAGTGCAGTACAACCACTAACCTGTGGGTTTTTAACGTGCACCACGCAGTAGTGATCTCACGAACGCGTGCCGGTACGAAACTCATCCCAGCGCAAGCTTTCGCTCCACGCTCCGAGCTGAGACGCGTTAGCCCACTCGGCCACTTCCTCCCCCTCAGTTGGGCAGAGCAGATGAAGGTGAACCATTGGCGTAGCCAGCCGAGGGGAGAGGGGGGGGGGGGGGGTTGCGAAAGCATTAAAGGGATATTTTAACGAAATTCGAAATATACCCGTTGTGTTCAAGAATAGGTTGCATATGATCCACAATATCCGTAAATGACAATCGCACGTTTGTATTTTGAGCCTGGTGGCTGTATTTTTCGTTATAAATGGCCCACTCTGGCAAGCGCTCGGAGAACAGCCAGCGGAGACCACGTGACATCCAACGCAATCGTGACGTAGTTCGTCTCGGGACGAGCAAAGCTAAGGCGAGGCTGACGTCGAGAGGATGGCCCAGTCGTTCCAGCCACGGAAGCGGCTGCTTTTGTACGAATTTTGAGTGACGGGTTAATCTTCTATAATCTTGTAGAGGGACAATAGTGACTTCTGGAACACACAAAAGGGATTCTCGGGAAAAGGAGAGTTCCTCCTTCCCCTCTTCTCTCGTCTTGGCCGGAGGCGAGACAGTTACCGTCACTCGCTGTCAAGGTTCCTAGACGGGTATTACAAACGAGGCGTTAGCGACATCCACCAGGTGCTCTTTGCTAATCATTTAATTCTTTTTAAAATTCCTTTTCGTGACTTTTTTAACAATATATTGGTGTGTTCGATGTGATACCGCTCCTTTGAACACATATAGACCAAAACATAATCGACAAAATTTCGTTGTAGTATCCCTTTAAAGGGCAACTCCGCTCAATTCCGAAAAATTTAGGCTTACATGTGATTCCATTTTACAAAGCACCACTAAACAGCTCTACGTCTTCGGATTCGCGAAATGTTAAATATTATTTGCGTAATCCTAAGTTAAACATCAGCTGATACCGAAACCGAAACTTCAGTTGTGTCAGGCAACATTGGTCTCGCGTCGTCAGAGTCATGGCCACGTCACGTCGAACCACGTGGTCTTGTGACGTTGGGGGGGGGGGGGGGGGGGGGGGCAAGGGACAGGGCACGCTACGCGGGCAGGTTGCTTCGCATGGCGTGGACGGTGATGGCCCGGGGGAGAGGGGGAAGGGGAGAAGACGAAAGAGGAGAGGGGGAGCGGAGAAACAGACCGATAAGCGCGCAGGGCAGCGCAAACTAGCGCATCCGCGTTACGGTGATCACGTGGAGGCCGTTCAGCCAACACCGGGAGGAGAAACTCATGACGTCATCGTTCAATTTCGCCCCGAGAAGTAAAAACAAACAAAACGTGAGATTGACATAGTCATGCCTCTGACGTGTGGCTCAACGTTGGCCGCTCTAACTCCGTTGCAATAGGGAGTTTTCGTAGATCATTTCCGCTGTCCCGCAACGGCTCTCCGCAACCAGCTACGTTAGCCGGAACTCTACAGACAAGGCCATGGTCGCGCCGGCGCAGTAGCGGCTTCTTCGTTGCGGAGGGCTTAGCGGAGGGGGAAACGCGGTCTACGAAAAGTCCCTATTGACTGCGCTGATGATTGCGCCTGACGTCGCACGCCAGAGTTGGCAGATTTTGGCGACTTGGCTCACTTGAAGGTTTACTAGCCAGTTTATTAAATGTATAGACGGAATTATATCGTAATATTTGACATGAGGTCTTATATATGATACTGAAGAGGGCTACATAGTTTTCTAAATATCAAAAATGAAGCGGAGTTGCCCTTTAAGTGCGGTTTCGCTCAGCCAACGGGAATTTAGCTGCCGTTCTTCTCTGCTACAGAAGGAATTTAGGTGCCGATTTTCGTGGTCACAGACAGCGCCGGCGTCGCTCCATGGGACAGTTAATGCTTTCGCATTAACACCTTGAGAAGGGGGGACGCAGCTAGCTGGGCTCGCGTTCGTTATTCAGACAACCCGTGTTGTGCGTGACTGCTCCCACTTCTCTTGCTTGGTGGAAATCGCAGAAAGTGCTTTCCGTGTTCCTTGCTCAAACGGATCAACAGAACGATACCGTAATAATCTCCTCACACCCTATCTACGGCTCAAAAGTTGCTCTTCACAACCATCGCAGACGGCTTTCGTTCGGCACCGACACAGCGGCGCCCACCGGCCGCCCGCTCTGCTTAGGAGTAATGGAAGAACAGTACCGATACTCTGAGCGTATTTCTGTTGGGTCACAGCGGATGACCAGAAAAACTGGTCGGTATATTTCAACTTTAGTGAGTGCTTACGACGAGATCAAACCCTATTAGAGTGCCTTCGTACAAACACGCGCTACTGCTTCAGTGGTGACATCTTAGCCATTTTTCCGCCCAATCGTATTTTTTAATGTCTTTTTAAGTGCGCGCAAACCGGTGTGACTCTCAGCTCAAGCGCGTAGCCTTGGTTAATGTTTAGACACTACTTGACCGCACAAGTCACGCACCGAGCGTACCAGCGCGTCATGAGCTGATCCACTCAGTGCAACAAAGGATGTCTTCACCCTGAGGCAGACAGATATATATCGATAACGCATTCGCGCCATTTATCGGGAAGCCATGGCCCACTTCCGGTCTGCGTCTATTTCTTGTACTTGACGGAAGATTTCGCAGTATTCTCGAGATCAAATATATATAATAATTATTTCGAGCCCGTGGTGAAGTAATAATGCGTAAAAAATTAAGGAATATGCGCAAATCATAACCGGATAGGCGGTGCAAGTGTTTTATCTCGTCGTAAGCAGGCACGAACGTTTTCTTTGCGGTGATTGTAGAAAAGTGTTTGTTGGGACGCACTGAAGACGACCTGCCAGACGATGAGGACGGTAACCCAGAAGAGCACCAGCACGAAGATGAGGGTGCACAGGTACTGCATCATGCCGCCCGAGGCCTCCGTCCTGCGTCCATGGCAAAGTGCGGCTGTCAGTTGGCCGACAACGGTGACTCTCGCACGCACACACATGGTGGGTCTGTTGCTTTCTGGCGCGAGTTACATTTAAAAGGTCGTGAAGCGTTGTCTGAAAAATCTGAGCTATTTGGAATTCTGGTCCTTTGTTTTATAAATCCACAGCCCACGTTTGATTGTCCGGATTCATCTAGTAGCGTAAAAAAGATAATTTCGGTTTCCAAGGGAGCCTCACCCTCAGTTATTCAAATAACCGTTCTTTTTTTTATATTTAATAATCATCTCGCCTACATACTTTCGCTTCTAAGAAAAGTTTGTTGTCTCCGTAAGTTGGCGGCATAGACCGGACTTGTTGAGCGAAGTGCAGCATCAGATATCGCTCTAACTGGGGGCGCCGTGATGACGTCACGCACTCGAGTCAACGGGTGACATCTGAGGCCTTAATCTACACGACGGGATCAAGGGTCGGGGAATCGCCGCCAGCTCCGATTGGTCGGCGGTGTGGCGCCGACCAATCGCAGCATGCGGTGGTGGCTTGGTCCCTTGGTTCCGCGGCATGTAGATCGCGACTCCAACTAACTATAGGTGGCGCCACTCATTTTCCAAAATGGCGGATTTTGTGAGGGTCGGGGGTGCGTGCCGCTGTTGAGCCTGTCTAGTGTGCTGGCTTTACTTAGCGACACAAATTATTTCTGGTAATACGAGGAAGCTAGGGTGTTATGAGCGCAGGTCACCTCTTTACCCTGAAAACAAGAACAGTGTTTAGCGTAATATTTACGCAAGGATACGCGTTTTAATTCTGGAGCGAAACCGAAACTAACCTTTTTTGGACTTACTTTCTCAATATAGGTCATAATTTCGGATTTTTTCATAACTCAAGATGTGTCTCACATCGTAATTATTTAGTTAGAGAAGTTGCTCGGGGAAACTTTATTTTGTAACATACATGTTTGATCAAGGCTGATATTTGTAGTCGTTGTAATTGTTGAAAAAGTCAGTGCTGATGTTTTTGCGTTCTCACTGCCTTTTCTCGCTCAGACAATTGTCATGGGAAGTAATGAACTGCGGGCCTTTTAATCGGTGTTTCGGTATTTAGATGATTAATTGGTTTAACATTATCCCCAGCACAGGATAATAAAATAATTCAAATTTTTACGATATGTCCGCAAAACGTATAAATTAATAAACGCTGTTCTCACTGCAACAACACAAAGACTCAATCAGTGTCAGACAGCTGAAGTGTGTGCGTGTCTTTTATAGCAACGCGTGACGCTTAAAACTTTATATTACATTCAGTGTTTGACTGTTTGTCTATGTTGATAACGATGTCAGAGTTTTTCATATGCTAAAAATAAAACAAACTTGTACCTTTCTGGGAAAAGTATTATGTTTAAATGGCATATTTTCGTGATCTTGGCGTTATTGGGGGCATACACTGCCGCGATTCGTCTTTATAATGATAATATTAAAATTCAGATATTTTGATACGTAATTTTTTAAGCTATAATATAATTTGTTGCTTATGATCTAATTTCAAACACGCGAACAAATATGACCATAGAGTTATTACAATAAACGCTAGAGGCTCAGCTGGCGCTAGTGTCTAGGGGACTTCCGGTTGCAAATTGAAGCGGACAGCATGCAGTCTAGATTTCCAGCCACCCTGTGTATTCCTATGGGAAAACGCGCGTGAATTTTGTCTCTTCGCCGGAAAATAACATGGATAACTTTTGTCATTTCGCTTGTACCGGATAGTATGCACCTTTATTGGTATTGTGAGAGTGCAATTGCTTTAGTTACAACATTTTTCTTTACTACTGAACGATGTTAAACTTCGCTCTATTTCAGGCCCAAACCTCTGTTGCAAGGAAGGTATATAAAAACGAGCGACGATTCTAAGCAAACTAACGATCGAAAGGAATGTAGAGTGTGTTCAAGGTTTGCTAGCATTTCGGTGGTGCTTATATGTTGCTAATTGCCCGTCCTGTCATTGGATGCATTCGAACGCAAAAAATAAAGCACGTGAACTACGAAAGATGTGTCTTTTTGTTACTTCCTATGTCGGGCACTTTTTATCTAGCACCTGCTCTCTGGCTCCTGCAAATATTTGGAGCGTGCGGGTGATGGGTGATGATTTGAATTCCCAGAACAAGCATCTTCGCACATATAACCTTGGTGGTGTGCAATGCACGTTGCAGAAGCGTTGTGAAAGCTAATCGTAAGCTCGCGCCGAACAAGAACAGACTTAACTATGGCTGCCGGTGCATGGCACCTTCGGCACCACGACGCGCTTGAGCGAGCAGGGGCCTACGTTACACGAGGGGACACCAAAGGACCGGGACAACGCTGTCTGCTGTGATTGGTCAGCGCCGCTCCGCTGGCCAATCGCTGTAGACGGCGAAAGAAGTTGCAGTACGCACAAGAAACCTCCTTGAACGCGAAGATGACATCATGGCACAAGGTTGCTTGACAACCATGCCAATTTGCTGAATGGCCGCTGAGATACTCATGGTGGCATTTTTAGCATCGGTTTTACGCCGCATTCACTCTGGAGAGTGAACCACATCCGGAAAGCGATTGCGATCGAACGCGGTTGCTTTAAGCTTCAAAACAAATTCACGCGCTGTCGATGATGAAAACGAGCAGATCCGCTTTGCGGTGCGATTCGAACGCCAGTGTGAATGCAGCCTTATAGAGTGGATCGCGGTTTGCCATCAGTGTAACATTTTGGCAGTGCTCGTATTCAGACTCCGTACACCGATATTAGTCATTTACTTAGGTTCGACTTTTTAACCGGTGTAACCCTTTAACCTAAAGAAAGAGGTCTCACAGCCAATTTCATTCGATATGCGTCGTGGGATCTTTCTGTACGCTCGATAACCCCGCCGAGAGTCTGGGCGAGCGGAACACAAGGTGGCACAAACTGTCTCGTGCACTGGCGGCTGCACCTTATGCACTCTGTATAGTTATGGGGGCGTCAGGCATGCGTGGATCGCTTATAGACCAACAGGCGGCCCTGACGTCGCTGTCGACGACACTGCGCATGCGCAGACGATTCACTTCACACCACTTCGGTTTCTGCGCACGTGCGGTGCCCACCCCTGGTCTGGGCAAACGAGGGCTTGTTTGTAAACAGCGTGTTTGTCTATAGATTTCCATGCCTGTATAAAATATAACAGCAACATACGATTAATATTTTTTTTCTCGTGCGTTGTTACACTTGAGTTTCAGTATACATCCTATTTAATTAGAAAAAAAAAAGTATTACCCAAATGCAGAACAAGGTATGGTAATAGCTCCGTTAAAATATATTTTACCTGCATCAATTCGTCCTTATGTGGTCATCTAGATGCTGTCGTTTTCAACACTTCAAACCCTATTTGTAATATAGCAGCGCGGAGACTAACTGTTTGGTTTATTTAATGCTTTGTATACATTGTATGTGGCATATACCGGTCCATTCAAAAGTGTGTTAAGAAATGTCGCCCCCCCCCCCCCCCCCCCCCCCCGACCCCTCCTTTCACATTCGAAACTGTGCACCAAAAATATATTTCCTTATTGTTTTTTTTTCTGTTTTACGTTTCACTGCTGTCACACAGGGGTGGCGAGGCCTGTCAATCAGCGGGTAACACCTCCGTGTGTGTTTTCAAACCGAATTAAATGCTGATTGCTCGATTGAGGTAACAATCGCGTGTCGGCGGTGACGCCCCGAGACTGCGGAAGGAACGGATGCTGCGTGACGCACAAACATGACGCCATCCGTGGCACGTCAGGCGATTTGTCGGAGCGAACGACGTTCTCTCGTTTTCTTTCTTGAACGCGAGTTGCTTACAATCAATGCGTTTTGAAGTTGAATCTCAATGAAACGTAGTGTTTATTTGGGACCGAAAATATTTTCTAATAGGAAATTTAATGAGCCTAATCAAAAGCGATCGCCGCTGTCGATTTTATATTAAAAATAGCGCAAAAGAGACGGGCCAAAAAGACGAAAAAGCACACAGGACAAACGCTAGCTCTTTTGCGTTATTTTTAATACGAATGTCCACTGCCAACTTGCCCAGCAGACCAAGCTTTTACTCTCGTTTTTAGTTGAAACCACCAAATCTGCGCAGAAGGCGAATTCCCCCTTTCACGAGCTCTCTCCATAGTTTCAGTGGACCCTCCTCTCAAATCTCGTCTCTGTAGGCGATTATTGAGAAATGTACAGCACCCACAGTCTCTGACAGGGTGAGAACGTTCAGTTGTCCCACCTCCAGTGAGAGTTTCCTGCCTTCGATAAGGGCGTTTTCTGAGCCTCCAGCGCGGACATATACCGCCTGAGCACGGCGTCCTGCCGGAGCCGGGAGTTGGAAAAAGACGCACTCTCGTTCTCACCCTGCCATTGGGTATAGTGGCTACAGACTCAAAGCAGGAAAGTTCTCTCGCCAGATCTCTGGGGCGGATGGGGCGCCTGGCGGTCCGAACCTGAAGCCCCGAAAGGGGGTTCGAAACCGCGCGATGAAAACCACCTGTACTCACGCGGGTCTCATCATGATCGACCTCGAATGCATCATGGACCGAGACATCATCATCGAGCGTTGTTGGTCCATGGCTCGGGCAGCTGCTCACTGGGTCACTCGGGAACAAACTGCGTCCAAGACGGCAGGTCATGAGAGACAAGGTCAACGCATGAGGCCATCGTTAACTGACACCAGGTGTGGGGAGCGCGCGTGCGCAGAGACCACGCATGCGTCTTTACATGCGGAGTTCCGACAGCAGCGCCACCGCGGTGTCACGACGAAATACAGTTGAGTTGGTGCATACAAATATGCAAGTAGCCATGTTTCAAAGACACCTTAGCCTGGCCACTATGAAAGGAAAGTGTTTTGTATGGGTGCCAGTCTGGCAACCGTGTGTTCAACAAAGCAAAACGAGAGTATAATAATAATAATCATCATCATGTTTTATTTTGCACCAAAAATACAAAGCCGAAGGCCCCCATACTGGCAGCGTCGGGGCAAGATAAGATAATAAACTATAGAAATAAAAGTGGAAACATTGTGACGAATCTTTTCACACAAAAAGATAAAAATACAAAAGAAAGATAATAAACTATACCATATTAGAAATACAAATAAAAATGGACACGCAATGGTGAATCTGCTTACACACAAAATATAATAAACTGTACATCATAGAAATAAAATTATCATATAGTGACAAGTCGTTTGATTCACACACACACACAAAAAAAAAAAAGATCAACGAAAAATTAAACAATAGAAGTTCCTGGAAACACCTCCTCCTCTTTTTTCAGTATAAGAGTTTAAAGCATTCTGAAAAAGCTACGCAGCTCTTTAAAATAAATATGTTCTCAGCTGAATATTTTTATCGTGTAATTTATTTAAAAATGTTGGTAATTTGTTTTGTATCATTTCTAGCCGGTATCTTGTTCTACAGGTGTCTATTTTTCAAGGCTCATTTTTTCGCGTGTTGTGTACTGCAACATGTGGTTTTAGTCTTGCCAAGTTTCTTAAAAGGCAAATGTTATTTCTTGTTTCTTGTTTATATTGCTTACAGAGGCGGAAATCATACATTTTTGTTATGGGCATTACAATATATTTTGTAATTAGGGATTGTGTGTGATAATGATTAGGCACCTTTCCTACCATTCACAGAAACCTTTTTTGTAATATATGTATTTTCAGAAGATTTTCTTGCGTGGACGAAGCCCAGACTAAATGACAATAGTTGAGTCTCGAAGAAAATAGTGAATTATATATTAAGATCATAATGTTACGTGGGAATATATACCTATTCCGATATGTCACGCCGAGGATCTGCGACACTATGTAAGCAGAGGAAACGAGGACAATATCATGTTGTACTGTCCGGTAACAGTAACATCAGCTTTATACCGATTATAGCTGTACATAGTAAAGCGAAACACGGAGGAATGGGCAGAACGAACGCAAATTTTGGGTGAGCTTCAAAATGGATTAGGACTGAAAGAGACAACAAGAAAAATGTGGGAGGGAACAACCTAAGAAAAATTAGCTTTAACAATGTACCCCTATAAAAATGGATATGGCCATTATGAGGACATCTGAACAACATTCTATCGCCTCTATTGGGGAGGAGGACAGACCGTGACGCCCCAAGCGGTTAATCTAACAACTACACGGATGGGGACAACAAATACAATGACGCAGCGTTCGGCCGACATAACCGAACGCGGCGTCAGCGTTCGGCTGGAGTTCGTGTTCTCCGGCGAGGGGGAGGAGGGGCTGTTTTGTTTCCACTACGGCCTGCATCAGGGTTGGGCAGGAATACTCAAAAATGTATTTGGAAATACAAATACTGGGATACATTAAAATAGTAGCTAAAATACTGATACTGAGATATATTTGTAAAAGTGTATCGCGATACGTATCGGAAATACATTTTAAAAAAGAGGCAAAAAGTATTTGGAAATACAAATACAGGAATACGTTTTAGGGAGGGCAGAAATACAAATACAGAAATACTGATACTGCAATACATTTTTAAAATTTGTTTGAGACGCCAAATGAGATGAAGCTTGAAGTTGGAGGTTGAAGTTTTTGATCCGGAAATTACTTTACCGTAGGCTTGGCACTTTGCCTTGAAGATAGTGATTTCGGACGACGAGGAGTCTTCAGTGGGCTCAAAAAAACGTTCCATCAAGGACTGACCGCGGTCCCTTCCCTGATATCCTGTCTGTCTGATGAGGGATGCGAAGAGACTTTGACCTCTAAATAAATTATATGTCATCCTAAATCACTACGCCCCTGTTCACTAAGGACGCCCCTGTCAATATTTATCACATGACGTCACGGTGGAATGAACTGGCATTCTTTATCTGTAGGTGTGGCCTTGAACATGAAACTTTAGCACGCTGCTGTATGAAAGGACAATACATACTTTCGTTTTAGGTTACCTCGTTGAAGATCCAGCAGGCAGTGTCATTTGGATTTTACGAGAATAGTGGGCTACCCCAAGCAACCTGGAACACCTGTCTTATCTTCTCTTACGGTTGAAAAAACGATACGGTGGCATTCCTGTTGTAAAGGTCTTTCCTGTCGGCCCTCTGCCACCGACGCATGGATTGCAGTTCTCAAGTTTGGTCTTGCATACTCCAAATAGAGACTTCGTGGATTGCGACCTGATATTGCCGGCACAAGTGCGAGCTCTCCGAGAAATAGCGAGCTCGAGACGAGTCGCAGGTGTACGAAGTCTGGGTCGGCACAGCGAGGCCACGTCTGACTTCCTTCCTGGGTTTCGGATCCCCAGAGCAGCAGGTTACTTTCACGTCGGCTGATGACGTACCCTTAAGCCGTGCAATATTACGGGGGCAGCCGCAGGCGCCTTCGAATATGTGTTGAACTTCACTGCGTGAGTCATCCTACTATTTCAAGTCAACCACCGCCAGGCTCTTGCTGCAACAGACTGTGACTCAGCTTTGCCGGCCGGGTACTGCGCACGCTAAGGCAAGAGAGACGGTTAGCAGCGGGCATTGAATGTCAGCAAATAATAACTCAAGAAATTCCTACCTAAGGACCTGCGGCAGAAGATGCTCTGACTCCACTCCTGGCACGCCACCTAGTTCGAGTCCCCGACTACGCAACACTTCTCAGAAATGAGAAGAGGACGCATAGGAAAATAGTTTGGAGAATCGGAAGGAACCTTGGTCAGTATGGTAACAATTCCCCAGCGCCTCCTTGGCCCTGGTGCCCAGAAGAAAAAAAAAAATGCGTTGGATTGTCTCTCCGGGGAAAAAGGGGGGGGGGGGGGGGGGAGTATTTCTCAAGAAATGTAACGAAATACATTTCACCCTGATTGTATTGCAATACAAAGGAGCATTCCAAATGTATTCCGATACAGGAATACAGATACTGGCGAAAAATATGTATCGCGATACAGAAATACAGATACGAAATGTATTTCTGAAATACTATCGCGATACATTTGTATCGCGATACTGCCCAACCCTGGCCTGCATGAACAATGCAGCATGCACGATCCCAGCTCAGCACAAAAGCCGAAGTGGGTCAAGCTCGCATTCTCTGAGGATAGATCCGGCACTTAACGTCGCTTCGTCGATTGTTAGTATTTTTTACATTAAGCTGCGCCCCGCGCTCTATTGTAGAAGATGACGTGGCCATGCCCATAAGGCCTGTCGGCATGTGCACAGGCCTTGTGTTGAGTAAACACCAAGCGTGGGGAAAACAAACGGGTCAGAGCGCCCCCTATAGTTCGATCTCCTGCCCAATAGCTAATTTATCGCCCTCGCTTTATTTTAAGAACTCGTTACCGCCCCTTTATCGACGTTTGGCCCACCTTAAACGATAACATAGAGACAGGACAGTAGGCACACAAACGAAGCTCCAGTGATGGTAAGAAACAGCCTGAATATTAAACGATTACACAGAGACAAGATTAAACGATTACACAGAGACGAAGCAATCACTCAATTTCGAAGTGGCGTGCTGCAGTCTCGTTGACGTCAATGACTGCGTCGTAAATCATTCATGCGAAAATTGGCTGCAGAAACCATTATTGTCGGTTGTCTATATGATACGATAAGATTCATCACGAGACTCACGACAGAGCTCTCTGAATACGACGACGTAAATTTCAAGTAAATGCTTTATTTTATGAATGGTCTACGACGCAATAATGACGTCACCTCTGTGTAATCGTTTAATCTCCTGTCTCAGTTTAATCGTTTAACGTTCAAGCCGTTTCCCCACCATCATTGCAGCGTCGCTTGTGTGTATTGTCCTGTCTCTGTGTAATTGTTTAATGTTCAAGCTGTTTCACCACCATCTTATAGCTCAATTCAAACCGATAATTGCTTCGCATACCTTGGGCGCAAATGTGAATGTGTGCGTATACTGCCACTCCGTGTATGCGTGGCGAGGGTTTATCTGCTTTCCAGGACGACGTCGAGAACGACGTTCTAGGATGCGACGTCAGGACGACCTCTAGGACGACGTCTGGAACCTCTAGGACGACCTCAATGGCAACGTCTAGGACGACGTCGAGGACGACCTCCTAGAAGATGACGTCAAAGGCGACGTTTCGAACGACCTCTAGGGCGATCTCAAGGAAGACCTCTGGGACGACCTCAAGAACGACGTCGGGGACGACATCTAGGATGACGTCAAAAACGATGTGAGCACAGGCACATTTTAGACCCATGTTGTTGTAAAAAAAACTATCTCCAAACTCCGGTCTAAAAACATGCTTTTCGTGCAAGGCTCGTCAAATTATGAGGCGCTGGAGAAATGCAGCCTTCTGCGTTAAGTCCTTATTTCGAACTCTTTTTGTTCGCCTTCCGCCCATTGAAAAGCATGCGGGAAGAGCCTTAGAACGCACCTGGTATCGCTGCGCCGCAGCGTTCTTCCGCAACATAAAGTTCGTCTGCTTTCCTCGCCGTCACCATGGCAACGAACGCCGAATGAATAGAAGCGCGCACGGTACCGCCACGTGAAGCCAGCAACAGCTGACGCCATTTTACTAACGCCGTCTGCTAGCCAAGGCCGAACGCGGTGTGTCAGATCCAGGGTGTTGAACCGAAATTTTTATTCTGTTCGGTTCCGGTTCGGGTTCACGGCTTTCGGTTCG